CGCTTTGTCCCCAGGTGCTGCACGTACCCAGCACGCGCTCGCCCAGGCCGCCCAGCTCCAGGTAGGCGTTCTGGAAGGCGTCCTTCATCTCCTCGTCCAGCGGCTGCTCCTTGCCCTGGAGCAGGATGGAGCTGCAGCGGTCCAGGATCCTCTCGGGGGCCCCCTTCATCACCAGCAGGTGCCGGGGCTCAGCCGTGTTGGGGTTCTTGTGAATGGACAATGGAAAGGAAGGGTTGTTCAGATGAAAAATTGAGGCGCTCCCTTACCAGTTAGTATTTGTTACGGCAAAAAACCAAGACCCCTTACGTTTGAACTTGCCTCACACCTCGTAACATGCTCTGAATTCTACAGAAAAGGCCAGCACGGTGACATAGTCACACATTGATGACACGTGTCGACAGACAACATTCCCCTGAAGGAAATGTGTCACTCACCCTACTGAAAGTCAAATAAATTAGGGTTTTCTAGGTGTAGTCAACGGTAAGATACAAAGCGAAGGCTTTCATAAACAGGGTGAACGATTCCCTTTCAGGAGACATTGATGCTCGTCAAACGCCCAGAGGGAGACGAGTTCTTCCGTGGTGCTCTTTGTTCCCCTCTCTGCCCCTCGCCCACCGCTCGATCCCCCTCCCCCAGCTTCAGACCTGGTACTTGTTGGTGGAGTTGAAGGGTATCTCGACGAGTTTGGGGTACCGCTCTCTCATCTCCTTCACGGACCCGCAGCACAGCTCGATGCACTTCAAGAGCGCCGACTCGGAGGCGTCGCCCGCCACCGCCCGCTGTGGACACAGACGGCACCTGTCAGGTTCCCCGAAAATGCTGCACCGAGGCGCCACCCGGACGAGGGAAAACGACCAGGAATGTGTCCCCGTCTCGGTGGGAGGAGGGGAGGGCGGGGAAGGAGCAGCCGCTCAGACGCAGGTTACCAGGCCGGTCACACGCCCACACCCACATCGTTGTCTGAAGGTGTCACCTGCCCTCGGGAGAAGGAAAACACACCCTTTCTGGCCTACTTGAGCCTATTCATCTTCCCCTGCTGAAGTCTCAAAGCCACCACCGTCCCCAGACTCGTATTTCTGGTTACGAGCCTGAAAATACCCAGTGAGAAAGCACACACTCGAGCACTCCCACTGCCCAACAGTTTGTGCAAGCACATGCCTTGGGTCCCGGCACCGGGAACACACGGTCCGAGTCAAGGGTGAAGCGGAGGACTCTGTATTCCAAACGGCTGCGGGAAGGTATCCGGGCCTGATGGACCCAAACTGAGAGGCACTACCAGACCCAACAGTAATACCATCAGCCAACGTTCCAGCTGAAACCCACACCTAAGGTAACACAGCTTATACCACCATGAGCATGGCCCCGACCCCTGACATGCTGGGAAATACATCTCCAGCTGCCCTTCTGGGGCTTTTAAACCAGGAAAGATTTGGTGCTGGTGAGTCCCTGTGCTTGAAGCCTAGGGAATTTCTTCTTTGAAGCAGGAGGGGACAATGTGTGAAGTTTTATCCCTGCTCCCATCAGAGAAGACAACCTCCTTTAAGAAATGAAAGAGCCTATCGGCCCAGCAGAAGCCACCTCTCTGACCACTGGGTCTCTACCCAGAGCTGCCACAGGCGGCGTGGCGTGGCCAGGACGAGCCAGCCCGGGCCTCCATGTCCCCAGGGACCCTGTGCAGCTCCTGCCTTCCTGACACTGTCTTCACCGGACATCCCAGCGACACCTCACGATTAGTGAGCAAGCTAAGGACAAAGAAGATGAGAGACACAGCGGGGCTATTTTAAGAAAATAAATGGCTTAAGGGATTTACTGGAACCTCCTGCACCCTAACATGCAAATGCGATTACGGAGCCGCCCGAGCAGCCCTTGCCACCCGCCAGGTGAGGCGACGGCCTAAGAAACCAGGATAATACAACTGGATTTTATCACCGAGGTTTGCACGGAAGATGGCCTCTCCCCTCGCCCACCCTCCTCCGGTCAGTTTTTACTGCAGATTCGCTTTTCCCCAATGGGCTTCGGGCACAGTAAGTGCTTCAGGATCTACAGGCGGCGAAGGTGCCACACGGCAAAGCATCGCCTGGACCATCTGTGTCCCACAATGAGCAGGTGCCTACGGGCCACGGAGGCCACGTGCTACCTGAGAAGAGCACTCACAGGTGGTCCCTGTGTAGGACCCCCCCCGCCCCCCCGCCTGAGGGCTAGGGCACTCCGGGGCGTACCTTCAGGATGGGCAGGTTTTCCTGGTTGGCCTGGAACACGGCCCTGTTACACAGGCCTGCGATTCTCGACAGGGCGAGCCAGGTGGCTGAGGACTTGTCGAAGGAGACACCTGACGGGACCGAGACAAGCAAGTGATGCATGAACGTCCCATAAAAGTGGAGTAAGTCAGGTTTTAGGAATTTTCCAACCACGTTTGTATGACAAATTCAGTTTTTCTACTGACATGCAAAAAAAAATAAAAGAGGAAAATCTACACCCTTGACTCCTTACAAAATGTTTTTAAAAAAAAAAAAAAAAAGCAGCGTGGACCACTGAGGCTGCCGCGTGGGGCGGGCCTTACCGCTCTGATTCTCCGTCGTGTCGGCTTCGTGGATCTGATTGTCAAACCACATGTGGGCCACCGTCATGCGGTTCTGCGTCAGGGTCCCGGTCTTATCGGAGCAGATGGTGGACGTGGACCCCAGCGTCTCCACGGCTTCCAGGTTCTTCACTAAGCAGTTTTTCCGGGCCATGCGCTTGGCAGTAAGGGTCAGACACACCTGCAGGGCGTTAGGAACCCGATTACTTCAGCCTCAACCGAGTTGAATTCTAAAATGGTGGCTGCACCCTCACGTAGAACTGTGTCTAAGATTAGCTCTCCAACCTTCCTCTGAAGTCAGAACAAATAATACTTGTTCCAGCCCTAGCCAGTTTGGCTCAGTGGACAGAGCGTCAGCCTGCGGACTGAAGGGTCCCGGGTTGGATTCCGGTCGAGGGCACATGCCCAGGCTGCAGGCTTGATCCCCAGTGAGGGGCGTGCAGGAGGCAGCCCATCAATGATTCTTTCTCCTCACTGATGTTTCTGTCTCTCTCTCCCTCTCCCTTTCTCTTTGAAATCATAAAAATATATTTAAAATAATAATAATGATAATAATTGGGCCATGTATAGGGGGCTTTCCCTCCCCCCAAATAAGCAAGATATTAAGAAAAGCGAAAATAGCCAGGATTTAGCACATCCGGTTCCCCCACTCAACCCCAGGTTCTCCTTTCTCCGCTAGGCTGTTCTGGAACATGTGACAATACAAGAACAAAATTCATGCTTCTGAATTACTATCATCCACATGAAAACACCCCGAGGTCCCCCCACTGCCTAAGCCCACCATGTGGCTCTGGAGAAAATCTCTATACAAATGTGTGCAGTAAAACCTAAGCGGGTGGCCCCCAGGAGGGGGGTGGCCAAGCCTCACACTCATGGGGGCTGACCTGAGCCGACCCGACCCTGTGCGACAGCCTCGTACCGTGACGGTGGCCAGCAGACCTTCGGGCACATTGGCGACAATGATTCCGATGAGGAAGATGACGGCCTCGAGCCAGGTGTATTCGAGGATCAGGGAGAGGATGAAGAAGGACACCCCCAGGAACACGGCCACCCCCGTGATGAGCTGGATGAAATGTTCGATTTCTGCAGCGATGGGCGTCTGGCCGCCTTCCAGCCCAGAGGCCAGCGTGGCGATTCTCCCCATGACGGTGCGGTCTCCGGTGTACACGACGATGCCGCGGGCAGTGCCTGGAAAGTGGGGAGGGGATTGCACCAGAGGTTATCAAAGAAGCCACAGCATTTGCAGGTACCTGGCATGGTTAAAGACAGAGACACACACTTTTGCCCAGCTGGCGTGGCTTAGTGGTTGAGCGTCGACCTATGAACCAGGAGGTCAGGGTTCATTCCTGATCAGGGCACATGCCCGGGTTTTGGGCTTGATCTCATGATTCTCTCTCTCTCTATCTCTCTCCTTTCCTCTCTGAAATCACTTTTAAAAAAAAATTTAAAAGAAGAAATACATCTTTAAGGGCCGGCTCTTTGGTGCTGTACGCTGTTTGTTTGAAACCACGGAGACTTTGGCAAAGGGATCTCCGTCCCTGGGAGCGGCTCCGAACGCCGAGCAGGAGGCGCGCAGCCGCAGGAGGGGCGGGAAGGGGAGGAGGGCGCAGGCTCCCTGCCAGCGGGCGAGCCCCTCGGCTGCGCTTGACCGAAGTAGTCAGAAATGGAGCCAATAACGTGAAAACAGAAAACCGTGTCTGGGATTTTTTTTTTTGGTTTTTGTTGCTAACGACTAAGACAAGCGCCACGCCGTGCCAACGGTGCCTCCCAGGGTCTACCTTCAACGCAGTTGGTGGAAAAGAAGGCGATGTTCCTCGTCTCCAGGGGGTTTTCGTGTGTGAAGTCGGGAGACCTGGTCTGGGGCTCCGACTCCCCAGTCAGCGAGGAGTTATCCACCTGTCGGCGAGGACGGGAGTCAGTGCCGTGAGGGTACAGGCCGGCCATGGGCTGTCCCGCTCCCAATGCCCACACAGGAGGGGCCTGTGCCAGCCTACCTTGCAGCCGTTGGCAGAAATGATCCTGAGGTCAGCAGGGATCCGATCCCCGCCTTTCACTTCGACCAGGTCCCCAACCACCACCTCCTCCGCGTTGATGCTCATTTTCTCACCGTTGCGGATCACCAGGGCTTGCTTTGGGAGGGGAAAAGTTTACACCATTAAATCAGACAAACATGATACCAACAGGAAGGTAGTGTCAAAAAAAAGAAATCAAGCTACCCAATGATCTGTAATTCTAATCATCCGAACGCATAACAGGTTATCATTTTTATTCGCACTAACAAAGACATCAACCTTTTTATTTGTCCAAGTGACAAAAGCTCGCTCAACAGCTAAGAGCTGGTCCTCTCCTTCCCATGGTACCTGCTCCCTCTCCGTCCACTCAGAGGGAAGACAGGCCTGTCTGGGGTGGGAGGTGAAGCACCCCCCTCTCCCATAGTCACTGAATTCTTAGGAAAACCAGACCTTCACAGGAGCTCACATTCCTGGGCTAAGTCACCCCAGGGGACAGGACGAAGCAGCGGTACCTGCGGAACCATGTTTTTGAAGGATTCCATGATCTTTGAGCTCTTAGCTTCTTGGTAGTAGGAGAAGCAGCCGGTGATGATGACGACAGCAGACAGCACCACACCCAGGTACAGCTAGGGAGGGACAAGCACGTTAGCGCCGCACGGCTCCGGGTAAAGGACTGGGAACATTCAGCCAATTTTTGATGGACTAAAACCCAGATTTTTAACAGGGATCGAGGCTTCAGAAATCGAGAACTCGGGTCTTCACATTTATATTTCTAAAGACCATGTCCAGGAGAGTCCCAAATGGAGTCACACAGACACTGGGTCACTAACTGGATAGACTTTTGGAAATAATATTCTGATACAATTTCCCCTGCTTTATCGAACTAAGGATATTCTTGGAACTCGTGACTTTAGAAAAATAGCTAACAACCTGTCAGAACACGTGTAATGTGCCAATCAAGGTTCAAAGTGTGGTCTGTCATCTAGTGAATGGCAGCCAGACCCAGGCCGGGACCCGCGCAGGCCCCCTGTCATAGCAGCAGCACCACGCAGGGCAGCGCGCAGCTAGCAAGAGCCTCCACAGGACCGGAGATGGAAAGAGAAGCCTCAATCGCAGGAGCGATGGAGGGGCCTTGAAGGCAGCCATAGCTGACACTCCTTTCCACTGGTGTTAAAAGCCATCCAGAACCTAGCGGCAGCTGAACATGAATGGGCAGTGAAGACCTAGAGCAGGGCTGGGCAACCCCTGGCACGCGTGCCAAATATGGCACGCCAGTAACTTTTGCTGGCACGCGAAACCCTCTCCTATAATCTTCCATTTACAATTGTGAATCTTTGTTCTCAGTGACGAATTTTGTTAAGTCTCGTAATAGGGAGTAGCCTGCCGGATGAAAGTAGTAGCTCGTGCATATCTCTGAAGGTCACGAAATATAAACCTGATGTAAAATCTCTGTCATCAGTGATGCAGCAGCAAAAGTCCCACTGATAATATCAAACGGAGTCATAAAGTTTTCTGTCGGACTATCAGTGTACATGTATACATTAAAAAATAAATGTATTTTTCATCATCATATTCTGGGTTTTTGTCGCTCGAATGAATTATTTCTTTAAGGTTCTTCACATACGTACACCTTAAGAGATACCAAGTAGGCGTAACATGTTCTCAGAAAATTAGGGTTGGCATGCAGAAGAATTTTGAGTCAGATTTTGCTGGTTTTGGCACGCACTCACAAAAAGGTTGCCCACCCCTGACCTAAAGGCTGCCTAACGTGCACCCCACGCGCAGGAGTGCGGGACTCACATTGTCGTTCTGAGGCTCCTCTTCCGTGGCAGCTTGGATGCCATAAGCCAAGAAACAGAGAATGGCTCCAATCCACAGCAGCATGGAGAACCCCCCGAACAGCTGCCGGCAGAACTTGACCCACTCGGGGGTGGTGGGAGGGGGAGTGAGGGCGTTGGGACCGTCGCGGGCCAGGATCTCGGCAGCTCGAGCAGTGCTTAAGCCCTGAGAAGGAGAGGAACAGAAGTGAGACACACGGCTCCAGCCCCTGACGAGGCACTGCACCCACCCGGGAGCTGGAAAGCTGCAATGAAGGATCTGGAGGGAAACATTCCCCGCGCCAAGGCAAACCCCGGCAAATTCTGGTGAGGATCCCCGTCAACAGCCCACGTTTCCCGAGGAACCCACGACATCCAGGCGGAAATTGTTTTTAAAACTGACCCACAGACAAATCCAAGTCCAGTATGCCTTCTTCTAAGTTGTAGATAAGGGATTCATGCTAACCTGCATTTTTTTTCTTTTTTTACCAAAAATATATTTAAATAACTGATTCAGTTTTGCAAATTAAGAGCTTTGAATTTTCTGTATATCGAATTTGTCAGGGAGGAAAAAAAAAACCCCTCTATAAACATTGAAGGAGAAAAAAAAATCTGTAGGAATCCCACCGATTATTAGGTCAACAGCCCTGTTTTAAGTATAGAACTCTATTCTCTGGATGATATTAAAACCATCGTCTGGCGGAAGGGCCCACACACATGCATGTTTTAGCTACACTCCCACCCTTCCCACCTAGGAGCTGGGAAGTATTCAACGGAGGAGTCCACTCTATTTCCTACATGGGCCTTAAAACCAAGATCCCCCGACAGCAGACAGTAGTCACAAGGCTCCGACTACGGGGGGAAAACGTGGTGACTTCCTCACTATCAAAATACCAGGTCAATGGGGGGGATAAGGACACATCTGTAATACCTTAACTAATAAAGAGAAAAAGACATCACGTTGCCCAAAGTGTCTGCGAATACGCAGTTTGGGTTCATGTTACTTTTAATATTTGAGTTAACCCGGGAGGGTGGGGAAAGGAAAGTCAAACAGTAAGGGGAAAATGGAAAGTTCCCCTTTTTATTTAGGACCCTCCCTCCTCGGCCTCGAGTTCATGGTGTGATGATGGGGGCAGCACAGAGCCCACCAGCGGACCTCTGAGCACAGTACACGCCACACCCTGCACCTGGCGCTCCAAACGCATGAACTCGTGTGGTTCCCACGATAACTGTGTTTGGTGTTATTAATCCTGTTTTACAAGAAAAGAAACAGATCCACAGTGTTCGACTAAAATGACTTAGGGTCACAGAGAACAGATTTCATAGGAAGCTAATAAAGTTTAGTTTTATGACCCAGGTGATGTGCTCAGGGCTTGCCTGACGGGGACGGACAGCTGGGCCTCAGGGCCAAGGCCAGGGCACCGGGACCAGCACGCTGCTTAGAATATCTGGATAATTTATTCAGACAGTGGCTACGTAATCGCTGGGATGTAAGTTATTGCCCAGAATTTCTAGTAGTTGAACACCTACTTTAAAGGTTTCTCTGAATTGTGGTGTTTTGGTTTTTTTTTTTAAAGTTTCAAATAAATGACCAAGGTTCTGGCATACTGCAGTGAGCTAGTGGGTAAAGTGCAAAAATCAGAATTGTTGGAAGAGTCGACTCAAGTTAACAAATGAGGAAGAATAAAGGGAAGATTTGTAGTCAAAAGGCCGGGAGTGACACGGCTTTGGAGCTATTCAGTTTCAAATCCTGGGGCTCCCCCTTTTATTGGGTCTCACCCACTGTAAAGTGGGAAAAACGGTAATGTGCACTTTCAAAGTTTCAGGGCGGAGAAGACTTTTTAAAGAGCATATGAAGAAAGCCAAGCTCTGTGCGTGTCACGAAGTAGATACTCAGACGGTGGCTGTCATGTTCCCCCTAGAGTCCCCAAGGTCAGGCCTGTGACCCGGGGGGAAACGTGACAAGAAATTAGGATTTTTGCACAAAAAGTTTCAAACGAGAACATACGCGGCTCAAGTCTGTTCCGTATTTGCGATGAAGTTCGTCCAGGCTCAGTTTATGGTCATCCTAAGGAAAAGCAGAAACGAAAAGCACCATTAAACATGGTACCATCAGAAAGGCTTTGCAAAGAGCATCACCCTGTAATTAGGCTCCGAAAGCAAGGCGCTCTTCAGGGCAGACGCTGGTCTGCTTCCCCACGGCAGCACGGCCCCGCAGCCCCCCACTTCCCAAGGAGTCCCCACGGCAGGAGGGCCGAAGCTCAGCAGCCACACACCTCCGGGGAGCCCCTTCGCCCGAAGCGGGGAGAACCGCCCTGCCTTCCGAGGACCAGGCAGCATCCGTGGAAGCCCCACAGCCCCCAAAGGCCGGGAGTTCCCAGTAATCAAAGCGCAGAAAAGCACAGCCCCTCTGGCTATGCCCCAGGGACCGGATAACATCTCCGACCCTCCAACAGCTTTGGAAATGGAAAGTTTTCTTACTGCCCTCTAATTCGATAAAATCTGCACAAGTGCAATGACCGCGTTGCTTTTAAAATAAAGCAACTCTCGCCTGGCTGGCGTGGCTCAGCGGTTGACCTACGAACCAGGAGGTCACGGCTCGATTCCTAGTCAGGGCACATACCGGGGTTGTGGGCTTGATCCCCAGTGTGGGGCCTGCAGGAGGCAGCCGATCAGTGATTCTCTCTCATCATTGATGTTTCTCTCTCTCTCTCCCTCTCCCTCCTTCTCTGAAATCAATAAAAAATATATTAAAAAAAATAAAGTGTGTGTGTGTGTTGGGGGTGGGGCGAATCATACACTCAAAAGATACAACTACTCTTTAGGAGAACAAAGCCATGTCCCTCCTGGCATTTACCATAGACACTTCTTTCTTCAGCTCATCCATATCCCTCTCCTTCTTGGCCTTTTTCTTGTTGCCATGCTCGGAAACGGCCGCAGGCTCATATTTGTCACGTCCAACCTACAGGAGAAGGCAGGAAGATGTGGTTAGTTATGAAGACTGGAGCCGTTTTTAGAGAGCCATCATTTTGAATAGTCACTGGGCTGATCCTTATGGAAACCGATGCGCTTATGCCGCACACTCAGCAAGGCAATCTATTATGCACGCCGCCTCATAAGCTCAGGGTTCGAGGACCCCGCGGGGAGGTCGAGGCAGGCCTCAGGATGGCCCTGCAGTCACTTCCAGGTGAGGCGTGAGCTACCACTGACCAGCTGGGTATCATCTCAGTGTTTTTCTTCTGTAGCATGGAGATAATAATAGTGCCTCCCTCATTCAGTGTTTTGGAGAGGACTAAATGATAGAATACATCTAGGTACTTCGTTACTTTCAGTTAAATTCCCGGCTTTGCGAAGTCATTAAGTATCAAATTTAAATAATTTTGCCCCCCCCCCCCCCACAAATGCTGCCCTTCCCATCTTCACGGGGAAAGCCAGCCTCAGAGTCCTTAAAACTCGTCAAACGAAAGCGCAAAATCAAGGGGTCCCCACCCCAACCTGCAGCCTGGAGAGAAACCCCCCGACAAAAGTTGCTGGAGATGTTTTGACGTGAGCAGGATGTGGGGAAAGCATGTGCTTTATCAGGGAACTCACAGGGTCCACCCACGCCTCTTGAAAAGTGGAACAATTTCTAGAGAAAATGTCGATTCCCCTAGTTTAAATTTAGCTTGTTGCACACTCCCACCCCGCGTGTGAAACGCTTGCGCTGATCTCCACACAGCCTGGACCTGGTGCTGCCGAGCCGGCGGCGAACAGCTCCTCGTTCTAGGCAGGCCCCCTCCCCCACTACCTACCACCCAAGACAGGCAAAGAAAGGAGGCATCAGGGATGTTCTCAAAGTGGACGCTCTCTGGTGCCAGTACTATTATTTCGAACGTTCAGAGGCACGTGCCCAGCTACTAAAACGAGGAGGAGGAACCTGAGTCCAGATTAAAATTTTATCGTGCTGAAAATAAAATTAAAGAACAAAAACAAAAGAACGCCAGCGAACAGGTATGTTTCAGTCATGGCTGACATGGTCACAAGTAAATACAATACTCGCTTGAAGGGAGTACCCGCTTCATTCCCTACAGGGGAGCCCCGCCCCCAATGAGCCGGTACTGCCCACATGCGGGGACATGCACGGCGTTCCCACGGTTCACCTCTGCAGTGGCCCTCGACCCACAGCTCCTTCCAGCAGAGCGCAGCTCTTTAGTTTCCGCCTTATCTGTTGAGCATGAAGCAGGTCTAAAGATAGCCAGCATTCCTCACATTCCCTCCACTGTGGAGCAACCACAGGCTAGTCCTCTGTGCACACAGCCCCTGGTGCCAGCTGAAAGCAGACAGACTGACAGACTGACAGACAGACACAAAGGACAGGGCTCCCCATCGGAGGGGCCGCCCGTCTACGGCGGCATCTCCTCCCTGGACTTAGTGGGAAAGCACAAGCCTGAAAAAGCATCTGACAGCCACTGACCAGGGAGCCCGAAGACTCGTGTGGCCAGTTTGTATCGATCTTTAAAACACGGCTCATTAGAGCCTCTTTAAGCAAGCGGGACGCCGTTGAAATACGTTTAATTTAAATGTATGAAAATGAGAGTTAAAATTGCTCTCCTCACGAGGGAGGCTTGGGTTCTTTGCAGACTTTCAATATTTTCCACCCCGAAAGAGGGGGGAGAGAATGCTGGAGCAGCTGGGCCTTGGACATGGTCCAAAGTTTTATCCCCATTTTTTTTTTACAAAATAGAACTCTTGCCTGCAGCCTCAGGTATCAATGGCTAAGTCAGCTGAGAACGGAGATTCCCCTAGTAGCCTACCCCCTCATCAGTCCTGCTATTCCAGGCATCCTTTTAACTGAGGACAGTGGTGAGAGACACAGGAAGAATTAACATATGAGGTCCCCCCCTCCCTTGAAGATGTTAATTTTACCCGCTAGGAAACGTGTGTCCAGAAGACCAGACAGTGTATACAATTTATACAATTTGGTTCTTCCCAACAAGTAAAACAATAGGTTAATTGCTTATCTTGATGGGAAGCACATGACTTAAGTCCCTATCAGTCTCCATCATTACAGTTACAAAGCAGAAAAAATTCTGTGTATGTGTGTGTGTGGGGGGGGGGGGGGGGGGGGGAAGGGGGGGAAAATGGTGTATTTGGGGA